TTGCCCTTTCTCATAGCTATTAATTGATGGCAATGTTGTTTTGGCTTTGTTTACCTACGTTAAAAAGCCTGAGAAACACAAAATAATTGAATGGTCTGTGGCACAGTATGAAGAATTACAGCTGCATGCAATTGCCACTTTGTCATCAGTGGCTCCTTTATTAATAGAAGAGTATATGTTGTGCCAGGGAAATGCTCGAATCCTGGCGTTTCTAAAATGGTGTGAGAGCGAAGGTGAGTGGCCTTTCAAGATTCCTGTCAAAATTCTAATCTAATATATGGGGATGGAGATTTGACTTTGGGTAGTGAGCACACAATGCAATATATGGATGATGTATTGTAGAGTTGGACACCTGAAATCTATATAGTTGTATTAACCTGTGTCATCCCAATAAATTTAATAAAAAATTCGAACTACGTATTTTAACTGAATTCTCTATATGCATAGAAAAAGATAAAAAATTAAAGCAAAGAGAAATAAAAATATAAATCTGTCTTCCTGTGATTTTAATGTATTTACACGTTTTAAGAAAAAAATCTGAGATTTCATTTAAAATGACACATTAGTAAATGTCATAACTATAGCTGATGCACACCACTCAGTAAAAAAATATTATACGTGTAATCTGCTTTAAAGTGTTGTATTATTAGGCCTACCCAACAATTGTACTAAGTCCTGGCACTATTTTAATTATTCATTCAACAAATATTTATTGAATGCCCCCTAGGTACCAGATACTGTTTTAGCAGCTAAAGATACATTTGTGTTCAGAATAAATAAAATCTACCTTCATGGAGCTTAAAATCCAGATCTCAAGTCAGAAGCAATGATGCCACGTGTAGTCTATCTAATTAGCAGAGTCCCAATTTGTTGAATATTTTATTTCAATCTCATAATTTTTAGAAAAGAAATAAGAAATACATTCTGTTTTAAAAAAAATTTATAAAGAAGGTACTGCATTCTTTTCTGGTAGTATTTTGCTCTAGAAATAATTTTATATTGTGCATTTTCATTAGATCAGGAATATCACTCATC